GTAGTTTACAGTAGCCAATTAGATATCACGTAATCGACCAATAGATCCAATTGAAGTGCAAGAGTGATTGGTAATGTACAGTAGCCAATCAGACATCATGTAATCCACCAATAGCGTGCAGCCACTCTCATTGGTTGCTGTATAATTATTCTAACATCAAATTTTTTATAATTTTATATTTTTTGGTAGTTTATTAACAAATTTATTGTTGTAATTATTTAAATTTATTATTTTTTTTTAACTTAATCTTGCAAATATGTTGCAAAATGATTATTTATTAACATACATATATGTACTATACATACATATAATCTGTTGTATTATTTAACCCTTTTATTCTGGGGAAAAACCATATCCCCGTAGACTTTAATGCAAAATTGAATTTGCTCGCGCTTATGTACTTGACTTTTCAACTTTTTTGTCCACGATTTTCTCTTGCACCACTCCACCAATTCAACCGGATGACACGGTTGACTATTTTTGCTTTAACGTGAAATTTACTCGCTCGCTCAACATTGTTAGGTTAGGCGCGGAGCGCCTCAATCTGTTAGTATAGGCGTGGAACGCCTCAATCAAACAGTCCTAGTATAATATTTTTGTACAATATCTTTTTCCTGACCTAACATTGTATATTACAGTGGACTGCGAGTCAGACAGCGAATGCAACAACGCAGCCACATGCTACAACGGCCAATGCGTGAATCCTTGCATCCTGGAGAACAAGTGCGCCATCAATGCAGAATGTTACGGCCAAAACCACAGAGCCGTTTGTCGCTGCGGCGCGGGCTATCTCGGCAACCCAGAAGTGCATTGCGAGAGAGTCGAGTGCAGCACCGACTTCGACTGCCCTCGAAATTTGGCCTGCAGCAGCGGACGCTGCATCAATCCATGCATCGAGGATTCTCCGTGTGCACAGAACGCCATTTGCTACGTGCAGGATCATGTGCCAACCTGTCGATGCCCCGAGAACATCCCGGCTGGAAATCCATACTCCTATTGCGAACATCGCTCGACAACGGCGCTTGATGAACCAGAGTGCAGAACCGACATAGAATGTGCTGATAAACTGGTGTGCATCAAGAACAGGTGCATCGATCCGTGCCCGGTGATCAGACCGTGTGCGGAGAACGCAAGGTGCAATGTTCTTGATACGCTTCCGGTGAGGACCATGACTTGTACTTGTCCGGAAGGATGGACCACCGATATTGACGAAGTCTGCAGACCAAGTAAGACAACTAACAGCTCTTTGAGAATCTCTTTGTCAAATAACTGCATATCAAATTCGATGTCTAATGATTCAAGGAATATTTAATAACATTTACTCTTAATTTCAGTTCAAATAACAGTCATCGGTAGCTGCACAACGAACGACGAGTGCAGCGACAAGGAAGCCTGCATCAACCGACAGTGCAGAAACCCCTGCAACTGTGGTACCAACGCCGCCTGCTACGTCAGAAACCACAAGCCGATCTGTTCCTGCGAGGAAGGCTACCAAGGCAACCCCGACATCGCCTGCTACTCCGTGGAGTGCAGACGCGACAGCGAGTGCTCTTTGGACAAAAGCTGCGTGAACAACAACTGCGTGAATCCTTGCCTGGTGTCTGACAGTTGCGGCGTGAACGCCGAGTGCTACCCGAACAACCACAAGGCCGACTGTCGCTGCCGCAAGGGCTACCACGGAAACGCCCTGGATCGTTGCAGAGTGATAGGCTGCTACAGTAACGGAGACTGTCCGGGCGATCACTCGTGCATCAACATGCAGTGCATCAACCCGTGCGTCCACAACAATCCTTGTTCGCCACGAGCCGAGTGCAGGGTCTTCAACCACCTGCCCATTTGCCGTTGCCCGGCTCACCACACGGGCAATCCTTACGTGAACTGTAAACCCGAAGAGAGACCAGAGTGCAAGGAGGACGGTGATTGTCCAGACTCGCTAGCCTGCTTCAACAACAAGTGCCAGAATCCGTGCACCGTGGTCCAACCCTGTAGTGAACCATCGGAGTGCAGGGTGCTACCTACGTATCCTGTTCGCACTATGGTCTGCGTGTGCCCCAGTGGCTACGTGAGCAGTGGCAGCGGACTCTGCCGGGCTACGAAACCGATTCTCGAGGTAGAATGCACTAAAGACAGCGACTGTCCGTTGGACAAGTCTTGCGTGAATGCTGTGTGCAAGAACCCTTGCGCTTGCGGACCGAACGCGGAGTGCAGTGTCGCGAATCACAAACCCATCTGTTCCTGTACTTTGGGCTACGATGGAAACCCTGACGTGGTGTGCACGAAAGGTAAGGATTCTGCGTTTCTCTTTTCGCATTAGCATGCTTCAATACGATTGCAGTTTAATTGTATGCAGTTCTTCTGTATGCTTGTTCTTCATTGTGCACTTGAATTTTCAGTGGCTGGTTGCCGCACGGATGGAGACTGCAGTGGGTCGCATGCCTGTGTACAGCACAACTGCGTCCCAGTGTGTTCGCCAACGTTGACCACCTGCGGAAAGGGCGCGGAATGCCATGGTATCAATCACAAGGCCATCTGCGAGTGTCCACCTGGATATGGAGGCAATCCGAGGGCCGCCTGCGTCCTCCTTGGTTGCAGAACCAACTCGGATTGTCCTACCAATAAGGCTTGCGTCAACAACCGATGCGAGAATCCTTGCGCCGTGAACCCTTGCACTGGAAACATGGACTGCAACGTGTACAACCACGTGGTCGAATGCGCTTGTCCTCCTGGCTACATCGGCGATGGCAAAGTGGGATGTACCAAACGTAAGAGCGAATTCATTGATCATTTCTACGATCCTAACATTCGACTTGAGTTTAGACTTATTTGATGTTGGTTTTCAGTAACAGAGAAATGCAAGGCAGACAACGAGTGTCCATCTCAAACAGCATGCTTCAACGGCGAGTGTATCAATCCTTGCGTGAAAATCGAGCCTTGCGGAGTGAACGCAGACTGCAAGGTGTTGGACACGACACCTGTTAGGACCATGATTTGCGAGTGTATCCCTGGTTACAGAGGAAATGCGGTCATCCGCTGCGACAAAAGTAATTGCGCCTATCTCGTGCACGCACCTATCCTAACTAATATAGTCTACTTTACGGATATCTCTGAATGCGTTCTTTCGTTTTGTAGCGAACGTGTGTCCAGTAGACAAGGGTCAACTCCTCGACGAATACGGCAACTGCATCTGTCCACCTGGAACAGCTAAGGACGAAACCGAAGTGTGCATACCTTGCCAGAAACAGACTGGAATGATCATCAACAACGAAGGGTACTGCGTCTGTGCTTTGGAGAACGGCATGATCATCGACGAATATGGTCGCTGTGTGTGCCCGACTCAGCATGGATACAGACTAGACGCCAATGGATATTGTAAATTAGGTAAAGCAAGAGAAAGTTATTCTTTGTATCATTAATGCTTGTGTGGATTTGTTAAACTAATATCTTCGTCTTGCAGTTGACATAATAGAATGCAAAAACGACGACGATTGCGCCGACAACAGATTCTGTGATAAGACCACTCAAACTTGCGAGGACCCTTGTATGACCCAACTCTGTGGCCTGTATGCACTCTGCAATGCCACGCATCATCAGGCTATATGCATATGCATCAATGGTTACATTGGAAACGCTTATACTCAATGCTGTAAGAATACGTTTTTATGTATAACAATATTTATGTGTTAAAATAATTAACCAAATATCAATTTAATAGACGACAAGAACCGGTGGCGTACGGACTTCCCGAGACCAGAAATGGTAGTCAGCTGCTTGTCCGATGGAGTGCAAGTCGAAATACATCTCCACGATCAGGAATTCGACGGTGTACTGTATGTTAAAGGTCACAGCAAGGACGAACAGTGCAGACGAGTTGTTTCCATCCCGGCAGAAACTATGCACAAGACCGAGATATTCAAGGTGGCATTCGGAAACTGTGGCTTAATACACGTGAACGTAAGTGTCATCCTTATACAACCAACATACAGTTTAACCAGCATACAGTTGGTTACAGTAGTTGGCTACAGATACAAGATTATACTTTTTCAGGGACAAGCTAGCTTCGTACTAGTCATACAAAAGCACCCGAAACTGATGACATACAAGACCCAAGCTTATCACATCAAATGTATATACCAAACTGGAGAACAAAATGTTACTCTCGGTTTTAATGTCTCCATGTTAACAACCGCTGGAACTATTGCTAATACTGGTCCACCGCCAGTCTGTCAGATGAGGATTGTCACTCAGAGCGGAAACGAAATCAACTCGGCGGAAATTGGAGACAACCTAATGTTGCAAGTCGAAGTTCAGCCGTCAAGTAAGTTCAAATCGTTTTATATCATAAGTGGAAATAAGTAAGTGCAAGATCGTTTTATAGATATCTAAGTGATAACTTCTAACTATAACGTTCTTATTTAGCTATTTATGGTGGATTTGCCCGAAACTGCGTGGCCAAAACGATGGAAGACAACTTGGAAAACGAATACATTGTGACAGACGAGAACGGTTGCGCGACAGATCCAACGATATTCGGTGAATGGGAACAGAACCCTGAAACGCAGACATTAATGGCCAGCTTCAACGCCTTCAAGTTCCCGAGCAGCGACAACATCCGATTCCAGTGCAATATTCGCGTGTGCTTCGGACGTTGTCAACCTGTGAGTATCAATTTTTTTATGTAAAGTAAATTGAAACATCATATAATTTTGAAATGATCATAGGTTAATTGTCGAGGATACAATGCGTTCGGTCGTCGCCGACGAGACGTTGGTCCTGAAGCAAACGACACCTCTTTGAGCATCACGGACAACTACGAAGGGCAACTTCGAGAAGAAATAACGATTCAGTCGAATCTGATTTTCACTCTGGAGAGGAAAGAAGAGAGGTTCACAGCAGATCCAACTGAAAGTAAGATCTAGTTGAAACATGACGCGAAGGAAATTTTGTTCTTGTGCTATAATGAGATTTCTGTTACAGTTGCTTCGGCTCAAAGAGTGGAAGACATTTGTGTATCTATGGTCGGCTTTGTGATAGCACTAGTAATTACAGCACTGCTGGCACTAGTCGCTGTAGCTATTGCTGTATCCTGCTGGCTAATGGCGTATCGTCGCCAGCCAAAGACTGCTGGACCACTGCCACACCCACCAGAGTTCCCAAATCCATTGTTCACTACCGAGTCCGTAGCTGAACCATCTCCTGACTATCATCTATCATAAGTTCTCTAGGATAATTATTTTATAACGTAATTTTATAATTCTCGATGGAATGCAGTACAGACCACTTTTATTCCTGCTGGTCGGTCTTGTATTTCTGTAAACAACTCCTCCAGTGACTAGTCTCCCGTACTTTCTTCTCTCGAGGGTTCGCAATCTGCAACGATGAACGATATACTCTGTACTCTGAATTTCAATCTACATAGATATACGTATAGATATATTTACTATTTATGGTGATGGTTTGCTTCCATTATCTACGTACATGAGAAATCTTGTCTTCCTACGTAAGTACCTTACCCTCCCCTTCACTCTTTCAGTCACTGGAGGATTTGTTCAGCGTAACACTGCGATTTTAATTTCCGTGTAAAGTCGAACGAATTAGTCTAATATAGCTTTCTTACTTCGATAGTAGGTAACTGTACATTTTATCTAATAAAACGCTAATGTAATATTTTTACGATCGTCTCGATTATTCACCGTACGATTTAGCCAAGCAGTTCCTCAAGTAAACGAAGAATAAGATAAATAGGTGTACATATTAAACAGCTTGAATGTAGTTTCGCTCGCAATTTTATTACAAACTAATTGGATTTCCCTACATTTACATAATTTACAAAAGATAAACGGCACTTAATACTTGTAATAAATTATACAAATTCATTAATAAATAAATGTGATGTTACGATCGTGATGCTTGAAGCAGCAATTCAGTCATGATTAACAATTCACAAATATTCCTTGAATAAATAATTATCCTTTAATAACCGCGATTGGTCGTAACTTTATGCATTTTTTAGAAATACCAGCCGCGTGACATGTATTGACAACATCGGTTACATTCTTGTAAGATTCCGGTGCTTCTTCCATCACCAATTTGGGTGATGCAACTCTAATTGAGATTCCTTGTCGTTCCAATTTTTCTAACACATCCGTGTAATCCAAATTTCTGCGTGATTTCGCTCTAGATAAAGCTCGTCCCTGAAAGAATAATTTACAGTTATGCAAGTCTAACTTCAGAGTGAACTTCCAAGTACTTACCGCTCCGTGACAAGTTGATCCAAATGTCTCCTTCATACCCTGTTCGGTTCCAGTAAGAACATAACTGCATGTTCCCATAGTACCACCGATTAAAACTGGTTGACCAGTTAGTTGATAATCAACTGGAATTAAAGGATGATGGGGCGGGAACGCTCTTGTGGATCCCTATAAAATACTTCACTAATAAATATCCACGCGCAGTTAATCATTATCTACCAAGTTTAATATACCTTTCTATGCACTAGAAGAGTTTTCTGTTTGCCCTCCACCATATGTTCCTCTATCTTCGCGATGTTATGAGAAACATCGTATATAACATGCATATCTAAATCATCAGGGGACATTCGAAACTGTTTTGCAAATGCCTGCCTACTGAGGAACGTCATAGAACTTCTATTGACCCACGCAAAGTTTGCGGCCGCCGCCATCGCTTTTAAATAGTCTTGACCTTCTTGAGAATTTATATGAGCACAAGCTAATTGCCTATCATTAGTTTCAATATTGTCTCTCTTCATAGCTTTCTCCATCTGAACAAGTGCATCTGTAATGTAACATAAAATATAGCAAATTTTAATTGCTGGTAATCACTTAAATGATTCAATGTGTTTAATACCAGTTGCAACTTGATGTCCAAATCCTCTGCTACCAGAATGAATCATAACACAAATTTGGCCTTTTTCTTCAATACCCATTTTACAAGCAGCCCACTTGTCATAGATTTCATCTACCACTTGAATCTCTGCATAATGATTTCCTGCTCCTAATGTTCCTAGCTACAGGGTCATTCTTCCAATCATTAAATATTTCTATGATATTTGTTAACACAATAGAATTCTTACCTGTGGGAGACCACGTTTCTTTGCCCTCATTGATACCTTAGAAGAATCTGCATTGAGCATTCTACCATACTCTTCACAATGTTCTTTATCCTCAGCCCAGATGTAACCTAGATTTAAACAAAACTTCTGTTAATAGGAGTTTATTTTAATAAACATACACATTAATACCTTCTCTAAGAGACCAATCCATCCCCATTTCTAAGGCTTCTTCTAAATCATGTGCATTCATGGGTATAATTCCTTTTGATCCAACACCAACAGGAATATGATCAAACATACTTTGAGCAAGTTGTTCCTACACATATATGCAGTGTTATTTTCTTTCCCTGTTTTAAGAATACATATTTAATATGTTCAATGTATATTTTAAAATTTAATGATACCTTTACTGGTTGAACATCCTCTTCAAATAAGTTAGTTCTCAGTAAACGAACACCACAATTTATGTCAAATCCTACTCCACCAGGAGATACTATTGATTTTGGATCTTTCATATCAAATGCTGCCATATTACCAATGGCAAAACCATATCCAGAATGAACATCGGGTAATCCTACAGATCTCCAAACAATTCCAGGAAGAGCAGCTACATTAGCAATTTGTTTCATGCCTGGGAGAAAACCACCTACTGCTCCTGGTCTACATGCATTGCGCAACTCATCAAACATTAAACGTTCTAGTGTATTATTTACATAAAATACACCTTCAACCTATAAAAAAAAATGCATAGAAATGTTGAACATACTTTAGGAATTTGGTATAACGTATGTAAATTGATAATACTTACCTTCATGTTGGGTTGAAAACCCTTTTTTATTTTCCAACATGTATCATTTACTTTTTCTAAGTATTTCAGTTCTTCTTGATATTGCCTGACTACCATTTTTAATAATAATAAATTTTTACACCTTACTAAAATATGTTATAATACAAATTCTACTTTACAAAAATTACGTATGTATTTATTTCAGAAACTAATTCTTTGCTTCGCACAGTAAAAATCAAAAAATTATGTGCAAACTTTTTACGTGCTTTATCGAAATATCACAGATACAGAGAGAACCGGCTAGAACAACTTTGCCGTATGACGTTGAGAATTCTAACCTCCTCTAACCATCTTTCAGTATTGCAACATCTATAAATTCGATTGCAGCGCCGTCATTTTAATATCGATTTCCCTCCTAACATTTAAAACTACTTACTGTAAATAATATTTTAAAATACGCGTAATATTTTATGGGAGTCATGTAGTTGACATTCTTTCTTCTTGTCTTTCAACCTGACAAATCTTAATAAATTTCAATAAGAGAACTTTGTAATGTTACATGTGTAATATTCTGCTGTTCTGAAGACACAGTGAGGACTTCGTAATAATGGCTACTCCTGTGAAAGCCGCTGTGAAACAAGTGAAACCACTTTTGTCACTTAATCCAACAGATGCTCGCAGAAGAGTCTTAACATTGTATAAAGCGTGGTATCGACAGATTCCATATGTCAGTACGTAATTCAAACATTATGATATTTTATCTCTGAAACGATAATAGGACATATTGTTACCTAACCTAATTGTGACAAAAATAGTCATTATTTTACGTATTGTAAACGTCTCTTTTGATTGAATAATACAACGATTTTTTTTAAGCTTTTTTATTTAGATAGTGTTATTGCCATTAAGTCTTGCTAATTCTGGAAAAAACTCAATTGACCATTTTGTTCCTAGGAATTGATTATGATATGCCAAAAACAGAGGCAGAATGCAAGAAGAAGTTAAAGGAAGAATTTAGACGTAACAGTCATGTAAGAGATTTAAGAGTTATAGATATGCTTATTATTAAGGTAAGAGTAATACATATGACTTCATTATTAGCAGCGAGCATGATTTAATTTATGATGCATTATAATAGGGGCAAATGGACCTTCAAGAAGTGGCTATGAGATGGAAAACGAACGGAAGCATTATGAACTATTGGAAAGAGACTTGGGAACCAAAGCCTACAGATTTTATGTCGAAATTCCTTAGTGGACAGGAATAAAGTTTGTTATTTTTATAGCATTAATTTAGTAAATTATAAAGGAAATCAATGTACAAACTGTAAATTAATAAAAAATGTATAAATCGTGTGCATAGAGTTATTCATAGAATAAAAATAAGAAGGGGAAACAAAATGTATCTGTTTATTAAAAAAAAAACTGAATTATACATTATTTGAAAAGACGAATCTTTAATCAGCTCTTACAGAAGATAATATTTCTTTTAATTTACATTTTATCTTTACATCGATATATTATTATTCAATTATATACATTTGACAAGATGATATATTACTAAGCACCTTAGGTACAATCTAGTTCACTTTTCACAGCCATACGGATAATTTGCTTTCCTTCAGTGAACAAGTATAGAAATTATACATACATACGTACATACAGACATAATACATACATACATTCATACATACATACATCCATACATACATATATGTACATATATATGTCTGAATCGAGCATATTTGAACTTGCATGAAATGTACACTGTGTAACTTTTTGTTTTTCATTTCCGCATTGTACAGGGAATCGTTTGTGCTAAACTCGAGATAGACACCTTCGTGTGTGACCTCTGCATTTCTATATACTTTGGTTAGAATCATATTTATAAAACAGTTTATTGTATCCACATTATGCTCTCGGGTTAAAAAATTTTAACACGCAAATCTCGCACTATGTAAAAGAAGAAATCATGTTTTCCGTCAAAATACAACGCGTATTTTAGTACAAATTATAAAATATCTAGGTATTAAAAATATACACGATCGGTAACTTTTATACCCATACGTTCCACGTACATTATCTATACACTAAAAAAAATGGCAACAATACATCATCGTGCTTATGACTCCATAAATGTAATAACGTTTTTTTGTGCACTCATACGTTTCAGAAGCTGCAGGCTATTACAGCAGACTCCCGTTATGTTGCCGGTTCAACGAATATCCTTTTACAGACTTTCACGTACACTAGTGACACTCTTCTATCACAGTGTACGGAAATGTCTGACATCTGAAATTTCATATATTATCAATTCTAAGAATTTTTCGTTCTTACGTTCGTGGCAATATAACGGGAGTATACTCGACCCGCACCCTCTCGGGCTTAATTGCCCATCACTGAATTAAACTATGCTTTCACGTTCCGACTGTATATCGTACCCCGCTATCACCCCCCTCCTCAAAGAAACATCACTGTTGCGTAATCCATTACCACTGAATAAATTTACTAGCCAACTTCTGATCGAATTCCTCGCGGAAGACTTCTTGTCCGGTACACTGTCCGTACTAGGAACCGATACCACTTGATCCAGAGACCTCCAGCGCTTAACGGGCACGATTTCTCCCATGCAGCCACTTTCGTCTCCCAGCAACGGTGTCTCTGCTTCGTTAGGCGATTCATCGGTATGGGGCACTATTATCACATTACCGTTAGGATAATTATTATTCAACACTTTGCCAGAAATGTTAGTTTTAGAGTTCGTCCTCGTGCACTTGTCACAATTTTCTAACGACCTGAAGCTCTTCTTCGGTTCCTTCCACGAGAAATTCGGCGACTCGAACCTCTTGCTGTAAAGTTCCAACGGGAACGGGTCCAAAGAACGGGACTCCCTTATTATATTATGAAACGGATGATCGCTCGTCGAGGACGACGAAGCGATCGTCGACAGGACTCTGGCGTTCTTCCTGAACTTTGGCCTGGTGTCGATGAAGCAGTCATCGAGTGCCATCTTGATGTTGGCTGCGCGGTTGTCGTCCGGTAACACAATGTTATCCAACGTTGTTTTCGATATGCTATCAGTCAAGAATAACGGAGATCGCTCAAACTTTCGAGGATTCAACGATTTTGGCACTGGGCTAGATCCTCCGCATTGAGAGGACGAGTCATCCGGAGTTGGACGCGGGACGTTCGATTGTCTGCGACTTCCTGCACCCAGACCGCCCAGCAACGAAGCCTGTCGCGAGTCTGAATTCAATTTTGGACTTCTTCTTGGTCTGCAGAAGAGCGGCGGAAGATCACCAACATCGACCTGAAAAGATAGTTCAGTTTACTTGATCGTCCTCGAATATGACAGTACATCTTCGATATACCGACCTCTCGTTTTTGGATAGCTTTCTCAGTGGCTCCCGTAAGCCAGTAGGTCTTCACCTCTCCTTTCCCCTTCATGTAAACCAACCCACGTTCTTCGATGATGTAGCCACCGATCTTGTCCAAGGCCTCCTTGCATTGCTCGCTTATGTGGATGCGCAATGGCTCACCGTTCGACTCCATCCTCGAAGCTGTGTTCACGGTGTCTCCGAACAAACAGTACCGTGGCATCGTCAGACCAACAACACCTGCTACCACAGGGCCTACAACATTGATCCTAACAATTATGCGAACCTATTCAGCCTTGGCTTTACACCGTTCGACACGTTACCTGTGTGGATTCCAATACGCAATTTAAGAGTGTCTTGAGGCCTGTGGGCTATGGTATGGTTTTTCACAGCGTTAAGTAATTCTAAAGACATAGACGCAATTTCCCCGGCGTGTCTGTTTCCATTTTTGATCGGCAATCCGGAGACCTGAAGACGGATGCAATTGTATAACTATGTGGAGGAATATTTTGGGGATGCTGTTTACTTACCACCATATACGCGTCACCGATTGTTTCTACTTTATATACATCGTATCCTTTGATTATGCGATCAAACAGTGTATAGAGATCGTTTAAAAAGTTCACCACCTGAAGATAAAATAATGAGTACAAATATAAAGGATTACAGTAGTTTGTTAAGTAGTTATAGTAGTGAAATTGTACCTGGAAAGGTGTGCTTTCTGCGGACATAGCAGTAAAACCTACGATATCGCTGAAGTATATAGTAACCAGATCAAAAGCTTCCGGTTCCACTCCAATACCATTTGTTAAACAATTAGCGACGGGTCTGTAAAGAATAAAATACACGAAATAGTTAGAGTGATTAACGATAGAATAAACAGTAAGATAGAGTAAGCAACCTTGATAAAAATATAAAGAACTTACTCAGGCAACATTCTGTGAAGCAGATCCTCGGTTTTCTGTTTCTCCTCGAAAAGAAGGCGTGTACGTTCACTGACTAGATCTTCGAGGTTGTTCGCATACTTCTCCATCATGTCCATCATTTGGTCCATGATATTGCGATGCCTTCCCGCTTTCATTTTCTTTAATCTTGTCCGTATCATTTTGAAGTCGGGCCTAAGTTCAGGACTTTCCGCCCAACAGTCGGTAATCGTACTAACTATATACTCAGCACAATCTGCTACAGACTCGGACAGTATCTCTATGTTAGGTCTAAACGGTGGTTCACCATCTTCTGGGAACCTTTTCACTCGGTCTATGATTTCTGTCAATTTGTTAACGTTCATATTTATATTTCTGCAGCTATACCTTTTGGCAAATGCCGATTAACGAATGACAATCGCTAGCGAACTCGAGCTACGTACTATGCACGGGTAACTTACCTTTGGGTTCTAGATTCACGCCACCGTACGGTCCCTTACGTCCAATTATTTCGAATAATATAATCGCGAACGAGTAAATATCCCCCTCTTGTGTGCCTCTGATCGGAGCATTGGGGTTCCTTAATAATTCAGGTGCTTTCCAGAATAAGTCTGCAAATTTCCATCGAAATAAGTTGCACATCCTCGGATATATGAACTGATAAGTGTCCAAATGAAATAAATTTTGGAAATTCTAAATTTGAAACTATGAATATTATCGTAAGTTTAAATCGTACTTCGATAATACTGATGTTCACCAATGCTGTCGGACTCAGCGCAGTGCCTCATATCGTGCAGGCCAAAATCAGAGACTTGTAGTACCCATCGCGAGGTCACCACGCAATTGGAAGACTTCAGATTACCGTGACAGACTAGCACAGATGACTCATGAATGTACAGCATACCCTGTGTCCAAATAAAATCATGTTAAACCGTCCAACTTTTCTCCACTCGATTATTAACCATACCTTAATGAGATCGTGAACTAATGATGCGATGAATATATCGTCTAACTTGATATCTTCGTTCTCAATGATGTCCTGAAACATCGATACAATTCACAATTAACCTATGAAATATCCCGAGCAGATTACAGACACGTTTATCCGAGCATATTACGGTGACGTACATAAAGACTTCCTTTGGCGCAATAGTCCGTAATTAACAATATCCTCATTGGCTCCACGCACGCTCCGATGAAAGAGTTTAGGTTACCGTGTCTGATTTCGCGAAGGATACGCATCTCCTTCATCACGTCCCTCGAAATGTCTTTCTTCTTTGAAAACTTTAACTCCTTTATCCTCACCACCACTCCGTGGTAATGCCCGGTTTGCGCGAACACCTGGCCGCCGCATCTTGACTCGTAGGACATTGCACTAACTAAACTTAACTGCAATATAAAGAACAAACTATTGCACTCTGCAATCTTCCAACCGGAGGGTTATTGGAGAACTTAGGGAAAATGACTATAGCGTTATATTGCCCGATTACTATTATCTCGCGTTGTATCGCCATGCATTGTATCGCCGCGTATTACCTTCCTACCGCAATGCGTTACATGTTAGATTAACACGCGCTCTATTTCCAAGCTTCCCTATTATTACGTGTCCCTATCTTCACGTGTTAACTTACCATACTACTTGTTAAATCACCACGTATCACCATGCGTTAGATCGCTCTTCATCTCTATTACCATGCGTTGTATCACCACACGTTAAATTATTACGTAACTCTATCACCACGCGTTAGATCGCCATGCATCCCTATTACCACGCGTTGTATCGCCACACATCCCTATTACCACGTGTTAGATCGCCACGCATCCCTACTACCACGCGTTGTAATACCACGCGCCTACATTGTTGTGCGTTAAATCACCACGCATTAGATCGCCACGCATCCCTATTACTACGCGTTGTATCGCCACGCATCCCTATTACCACGCGTTAGATCGCTACGCATCCCTATTACCACGCGTTGTATTACCACACGCCTCCATTGCTGTGCGTTAAATCACCATGCGTTAGATCACCACGCATCCCTATTACTACGCGTTGTATTACCACGCGCCTCCATTGCTGCGCGCTAAATCACCACGTGTTAAATCGCCACGCATCCCTATTACCACGCGTTGTATCGACATGTGTTAAATTATCACGCGTTCCTATTACCACGTGTTACGTCACTACGCAACGCTATCATCACGCGTTAGATTACCACGCGTTGTATCGCCACGTGTTTTTATCGCCAGGTGTTGTTGTCTCCACGCGTTGTATCGTCACGTGACCCTGTTACCACGCGTCCCTATCACCACATGTTACATACACGCATCCCCACGTGTTATATCTCCACGCGTCCCTATTGTTGCATTGCTACATGTCCCTATTCACCACGCGTTGTATCACCAATTTCCACGTTACGTACTACATTCCCATATACATATACATGTATACATGCGTATACATGTATTATATTGCAATGTGATATGCAACCTACCCTTGCATCGCTATTTTCCCTAACAAGTTATAAAAATCACAGTCATAGAAAATATACGACGGAAAGTTGAATAATCTGCATACCTTACTAGGGGAGGACATCATGTTGTCAAGATGAGGATAACCGTGTATCTCGCTCGGATCGATCTTCCAGAGCAGGCCTTCTATTTCCTGTTCGATCTTCCACCTTCGATATATGCTCATGGTGATCACCGCAGCGCAGAACAATAAAACAGCGAGAACTCCGGCGGCCACGATGCTACGCAGATGTGTATCGTCTTTGGGACAGTGTTCATTGAGAAAACCGCAGCCAGGTTCCGCTTCCGGCTTGTTTTTACCCGGCCAGTCCATCGCCTCCGACGGCCTGTATACCTGTGTGCATAATCGATAACCACCGTTCGATATTTCCTGCGATATCACTTTCGAGCGCAGTGCAGCTGTCCGAACGCAAACAGGAGAAAATGATCTGCACGAATGCTGTAAACAACTCACTCACTAGAGTTTCACCCTGTTGAAATTGGCCAACAGGCTTCATCTGGTAGTCGCAGGAGAAGTTGTTGATCCGGAAGGGATTCTTCTTCAGGGCCAACACCGAGAAGTTCCCTTCGGAGTCGCCGAACTTGTCGAACTTGATCGTCGCGCCGCTGACACCTGTTTGTTTGCACAAATGCCGCGTGTCTCGTGAAACTCATTAATTATTAATACGAAAGAGTACGAGCAAAAACGAGTGGGTGAAGAAATTGCAAGGCAGTACGGTATTTGTGGCATTGTGTGGCATGACACAACGAACAAGTACGCCGATCTAGTAATCGTTCATCGAAATATAATCTGCATCCGATAAATGATTTCTCTTTTACGAAAGTCATCTCTCTGATCGATAATACCCGATCGATTTCACAAGCTTCGTAACTCGAATCTCTGCAAACGGCATATCGAATCCACTTGTTCTTAATCAGATTTAGCGTTATCGGAGATCGACAACCGAGTACCACTTCAGAAACGCTCTAGCAATTCAGATTAAAACCTACTTACTTTGATACGTGTGATTTCTAATAATCGTCTCGATGATTTGAGTGCCATTGCTGGCGATCTCCTCGAGCGTGTGTTCCGGTTGATCCCTCAGGAGTTGATCCAACGCTCTCGCGTACAGCTTCACGGAGTCGTAAAGATACGCCGCGTGAATCGACACATACTGCAATCAGACGTAACAATTAGAAGCTCGAACGTGCTCCAAAGCCAAGCTCCGTGGAGATCTACCTTCTCGTACTTCCTCAGCAGTTCAGGTATCACGAAGTTGAAGGGCTCTTTACTGCTGTACTCGCGAACCTTCTTGGTGAACTCCTCGTAATTCTGCGTGGGTGGCGTGGACATCACCACCATCAACGAACGTGCCCTCTTCAGGAAGTCCTTTGGCTCCAGACAATTTTTTAGGTTGTCGAAGTGTTCCGGTTCTGTAAGTCGCGCCCAATGTTAACTGGGTTGCATCTCTTTTTTAAAATCGCGGAAGTTTTCACAATTCGATGGTGTTTATACTTCACTCGAATGTATGTGTGTAAGAATTTGAGTTAGTAAAACCCTGTATGACACGAACTGGTTGTAGAACGTCCGATAGAATTAACTGAACGAGGGAGAAACGGATACGAGAACGAGCACGTTTGAGCAACGTTTTACTCTAATCCGGCATTAGACGCGGAACTGATGAGATAACGAGGTACATAGTCAGGTTTCCGGTCTGGCGAAGTAACGGCAGAGGCGCGAAAACGCGTTCTCGCTAAGAGGAATCGGGTCAATCGAATTTCACGAGTCGTGGTTCTCTCGGAGGCTACTTACTCCATAAGTACTTTTGCGCCTCGCGCGGCGAGTACGTCATCATGTCCACGTGTATCACCATGTACTCCCCGTTGTCCAGCAGTCTTTGATTCTGCATCGAGTTCATCATGTCGATCAGCGACATAGCCGTTCCCAGGAATATATAAACTAAACAAACAGATTTACGACTTCCGTTAGATCGGCGAAGCCGCGCGTCCGGTATCGATGCACGAGGAACGACCACCGACCGATTTCCAGAACGGACACCGCACTTTCACGAGTTCGATTTTATTGCACCGCTCGAAACACGGCAGCCACGATTATCGGTGAGATCATCGAACGAAACTACCCATGTACCTGTTCCCACGAAAATACTGCACGAAACTATTGGGTCGTAACGCGACAACTATGTCCGGCCAGCGAGTTAACGTTCGCCCGAATGTGGATTCGTCGGCAACAGTAACACGAGATCGTTCAACGTCTCAGAGGTTCTTGAACTTTGATCTCTCGCTTTGCTGAACAACGTGGAACAACGGGGTAGCTATTATTCAGATATCTACGAAGCATGTGCTTCTTGACCCGTGAACTTTTCTGGTCCGTTTCAAACTGTCACATTCAATTCTAGTATTCGTCTGCGGTTAATTGTTCTAGAATTTCGGTTAAACGCGATCAATTATTTGGGTTAATACTCGTGACGTCATAACTTCAAATTTAATTCGAATTCGCTGTACTGACATTTCGCACGTTACGACCCCATAACTTCCTCGACCGAAGCCTTGTATAACTCGATGGTCAATCAATGACATGTCCACTTGACAATTCTTTTCTACATTGTCAAATGTCATAACGTCAAGCACACCAGTGCCCCTCGGTATGCCACGCTCTAAATGTTGAAAAGAAAAAATAAACGAGGAGATATTCCAACTGTCGACGAATGGTTCTTCGCAAAAGACAATAAACAAATTGGAAATGAACGCTCCGGTTGATCGGAGTGGTGGCTGTTCCGGTAATCAAGCGGGAAAGAAAATTAAACTACTGACTTCTAGTCATATTTTTGGTCTCCTGTATAAGCTGGAACCACGCGCTGACTTGACAACACGGCAGCCTCTCCTCGCAACACGTGTGACGGTCTTCCACGGTCTTATAATGGTTCACGGTTAGATTGTGCTTGGTGGCCTGCTCCTCCAACGATCGCGCCACAGTCGACCAGGCGCTCTCCGTGATGATGGTGAATTTGTACCAGCCGTAATGGAGCAGCAACGCGATCACCGACTTCGTCACCTGCGTGTCCGGTGGCTCGGTCCTCGCGAACGTGTTCACCTTCGACGCCTTGTAGTCCGAGCATTTCTGCAATCCAGAGAATTCGAGGCGCGTTAGCAGGTTCGCCTCTTGTTAACCATTTGCTGAAGGGACTTCGAAAATTCGAACGAAATAAGCAAGCCTGAAGTAGATACCACCTTCCTCTTTGTACCATGCCGATCGAAATTATGACTTCATCGGCTCTTCATTAACGCTCTATTCTTGTGAATAGTTTTCTGCTGAAGATTAGCAGCAGTAAAAGTTGCAACACTTTTAAATAGCTCGATTACTATTTCCTTCTCTGTTTATTATCGTTATCATTATCGAGTATTTGTTCCAGAACAAGGACAAGTTTTTCGATAAACAGGAGCTGTTCTATCGTCTGATTTTAGGTTATTAATTACCTCTGGTTACGTTAGGTTATAACTCAATTCTGTATCAATCTCACCTTACGAACAAACAATGAATAGAGATAGCGAGACAAACAAAGTCACAAGTATCATATTTTCCGGAGAGCATCAAGATATGAAAGCAGGGAAAGCAAATCGATAGCAGGAAACCTTGGTGAAGTATAAGATGGGAGAGATAAATAAGAAGATACGACCCTGCGAGTAAAATCAGAAACACAAGGATTTAATAAAGGAAACAATGTTGCAAAACGAGGTACAAGTATAAAACATGGGAATGAACGGGTGGTAAGAGACAAGCAAAGAATAAAGGTCAAAAAGTTTGAAGAAGAAGACGAGGAAGAAATAAGAAGCCGAAGAGGAAGAAGAGTATCGAAGGGAGGTGGAAGCGAAAGAGGGTAAAAGAAACGAAAAGGAGTAGGTGGAAAGAGAGAGTAGAAGAGATCGAAAGAGAGTAGAAGGCAAGAGAGTAAAGTGGGCTGCGCCGGGTGCCATGGTGTGTGGCGCGTGGTTAAATATAAACCTGTGGCAGCCACCACGAAGAAGGAGGGCAGGAGGAGAAGTGGAATGAACGGGGCAACTCTCTTCTCGTGCTTGCACAGAAATGCACGGGGCGGTTGCTCCGTACCGTTGAAATGTGACATGCGCTCATTAACATATAAATTAAACGTGACAACTGGGGGTCAGTTATACTTTAACCGTGGCGACCACCGTCAGGCCACGATCCACTTTCCGTTGTTTTTTACCTACCCCTCCCTACTTGCTTTTCCTTTTTATTCGACCCATCAAATTCATGCGTCGAATCTTTTCGCAGCCATTTCATTTTTCTTTTGTTACGACTCGTCGACATTCGACCGCTCTCTTTTTTCGACATCCTCCCACGATTTCAGGAAGTCGTCGGCAATTTACCCACCTGGCAAGAATTTTTCTTTTTTCGATCAAGCTCGTAAATACGGCTTTTTGCGATTTCGACTGGGAATACCCGAGACCGAATAGAAGAAAAACATAGGTAAATTTAGCGGAAACCTTCGGCAAGGATGTCTGATGACCGGATGTCTGGCGTCGCACGACCATCCAAGGAACGACGGTTCGATTGAATTCACTGAAAGGAAGTTGATTTCTACGTCGCATGAAGCTCATTGTGATCGACCACTGGAGAGAGAAAGAGCTACTCAATTAATCTGACTTCTTTAATCGGAAGTTGCTGGAGTCGCATAGAAATAACAAAATTATTATACTGCTGACTTGGCAGCTGAAGGCCTGATGGTGCAGAAACTTGGAAAAAGAATAGGACTCATACATTTTCAAGATTTGACAATTCATAAATTTGAGAAAAGAGAAACATGGATATACCTGACAAGGAATTTAGAGCTAGAGAACCTTAAGTCTACAGGAAGAGACTAGGCCCGGAATGTGAACCATATTTGACAATTCATAAATTGAAAAACATAGAGATTAATATACCTGACAAGGGATTTAGAGCTAGAGAAGCTTAAGTCTACAGGAAGAGGCTAGGTCCCAGAACGTGAACTAGAGCGAATCCTAGAAGAAGGCGAATGTAGTTGAACGTAAAGAAAAGTGGAAGATACAAGGATGTGTCAGCTCGAAGGATGCAATCGTACGTAACTAAGACGGCGGGACCACGCAACGTGTCCCCAGGTTTTGCATAAAACGGCGGCGGTGATCGATGATCCGGTGGACGAAACTGGTCTGGCTTAGAAACCAGTCCCCTTATTCCCGTCGAACCGGGGCCAACAAACAAAGGAGAGAAGGCAGGCGAGCACACACTCGGCCAGAATCGTATTGTTTTAAGACAACGGGGACGCACGTTGCGTGGTTCTTCGGGGCTTGGCCGAGGAACGAGTCGTGGACCGGTAGACAAAACTGACCAACCTGGTCGGTTATCCTGCTGCCTCTGGTGAACGAGGCGGGCTTTGGTCATTGCCGGCTCGCGACGTGCTGTTATTCTGGGCTCTACCAGGCTATATTTAGACGAGACCACCTTGAGGGAACTCGGGAGAGCCCGAGTGCTCTCCGCGAACTGCTACACCAGTCTTTTCTCTATTGGCCGATATAGTTGTGCAACCATGTTGTCGCGATCCTTTGCAATTCCTCTTCCTCCTTGTTTCTTTTCAACTTTCAAACGCTATTTACTTTTATTTGCTGTTGGGTTAGTGCCGTTAAGTGGCCTTCGATTAGGCCCAACATTCTAGGTTCTATTCGTTCATTATGAAGTACATTCGTACACTCTTTTATGAATGTACTTTTGGATGCACTATCGATTCGAGTAAAATAGGATTACAGAGGAGCTTCCCTAAAACTGTTCTTCAATGTGGGTCAAGTTGCTGAATTTAGAAAAAGACTTCTGACCCCTCCCTGGAGGGAAAATCTGTCTCGCTCTCTGAGAACAAATAGGTTCTCGAGTTAGTTGCTATGAAAATCGAAATCCGCGATCGTGACGGAGGTCGTTGCGCCAGGAATGGTTTATAGAATTGAAGCGAAGTTGTACGCGACAATGTTTCGTAGTCAAATATATCACCGGTCGAGATTAACGCGGCAATATTGGAGGCGTGAAACAGCCTTTATGTACCTTTGTCCAGTGGCACGATACTATTTCAACGAATGCGCAGACAGATCCCGTTAGCGTGTCGCTGTAGCAAACATTGTTTGGTTGTTTCGATCTAACAGACTGGTTCAAAGTTTCTCGATCAAACGGTCTGTGAAAAATGATTACGCGTCTGGCTAACAATGTGTCGACATCGGTTGCAACCGGCTCGGCGGCGAGAATACGTTAAGCTCGGTCTCATCGCGAATTCTTCATGGTACTTTTTTAAATTTATGTCCTACTGTCTCATAATTGTTCGCCGCATCCATAAAACATGCCTCGTGGATATTTCATCTTTCCGCCTCTGCACGGTGATCCACGTCGTCCCTCAAAATTATGCCTTTAAACTCGTCTTTACGTCGGGGAACGGCGCGGCGACGACTGCTCGTCTCGGTGCATCGGCAATCGTCGTGTTCGCTGAATAACAATGGAGCAATCGTTGTCCGTATCTTTCGAGTCACTTTAATCGCGCAAATCGACGGTCAAACGCTGAAATCACGATCGCGGCTGGAAAACAACCTTCTATTCATCGCGCTCTACGATCCCCTTCCTGTTTGTCAGAGACGGAAGTCACACCTGAGGAGGAAGACTCCAAAGGAAGTTAAGAACGTGGCAGAATATTGATTTCTTAATCACCACAGTCTCATCACGAATGTCAACAATATCGGCAAGGACTGCTCCAAAACTGATTGCGTTTACGATCTACACATTCGAACGCGTTTTGGTACCTATTATAATTCTTTGCTCCATGTCTTCACTTGGAAGAACGAGTTTAAGCATTGAAAGAAGGATGACACACGTGGTGCGTCATTGGATGAAATTTAAAATCTGGCAAGTTTCTTGAAAAATCTTTAATATATTAAATTTAATAAATTGTAGGTGATATTTGAATTAAAAGCAGCAGTTTAGAATGGCTTCTATTAAATTATGTAAGGTGGCTATTCGTTTGGTGCACGATCGGTATCTAAGGTATCAAGACATTTCTATGGTTCATTTTGCAAACTTAATCAGCGGCTACAAACTGTATAGCATGCGGACATTTATCGTGTTTCAGGATCGAACAAATTACACGGAATCGGTAGGGCCAGTGTCCCCGGCACGTTCTCGGTTAGCCGCTTTTCAGCCGGCCTGGCAAGGCGACATTTCTCTCTCGCCGAAGGTGACAAGCAACAACGGTAATGTTGTGCCAGAAATACCTCTCTTCCCGATACAACACGCTGGCTACCACACGGCAGAACGGAAAGATCGCTTCCCGGAATTCGCGAGCGTGTGAACGGATCACGTCCTGGCCCGTTAATGGTGGCTATTAGTGTTCTCGAGGGAGACCGTTTACGTGCACCAAGATCTTGCCAAACGACAACGCTCCGTGTCGCAGATAAATTCGTTCCTCTCGGAGGTCTGCGCCGGTGAAACGTACCCGTGCCTCTTTATCTTGAATATCAATCGATAATCCTTTGGCTCGTTAACTCTTTTCCCTCCTTCTTTCATATACTTTGTATGTCCCTGCTCGTCCCTCGCTATCGTGAAAACTTCGACTTTTCTTGCAGCGGAACGCGTGTGGGACTCGGTGAAAACTCAACCGTTGCTCGAGATGTTAACGACCCGACCCGGTACTCCGAACACGACCAAAAAAGGGACGAAGAGAGACTCTCGTTGACCGAGCGAATTCTTTCCAGGGAATTAGAAAGCAGCCGGGGAAACAGCGGCGAGCACGCCATTAGATAATTGAACTTGAAGCCGCAGCCTTACGCCAATTAAGCTCTCGGATTATCCTGAGGAGACAGCGTCGCTAGTCGTTCGTGCGTGGGACCCCTGATCAGCAGTCACCACCGGGCAAACGGTGCAACTGCCACGAGTTCCGTACTTGGCCGGGATGCGTAATCGAATCTGTTGGGCAATTCCTATATCTCGGGATTACCACATAAATTTTCTAATCCAAGAAATACAAATTTTAAAAATTTTGAATGAAGAAAATTAGAAAGTTCCTAAATTTATAATACGAGGTTGGGTAGTGCTGATCCGAGATTAGTATTTTCGCTGCATGCCGTGCAATCTGCTCGCAAAGTTGGACTTTCCTCTTCACCGGCCATAACTTCCTAAATTATACCGTTAACGCACGATATTCTGGATTCCAGGATGATCGTTGATAGCCGCACCGCAGCCAAAGATCAGTTCATCGATAAGAGTGCTCGTTAAAGAGGATGGAGGAGGACGATTCGTTTTTTCGGCTTCGTTTCATCGCGTCGAGATCGTTCGGTTTTTATTAGGTGACAGCGCTTCGCTCGGCAACCTTCTCTTCCGCCAATTAAACGGGCCCGAAGACGCGAATAATTAACGGAGCATGCAGGTGAACAAGATGGCCGTGGAAATCGTAACGCGGCCACGATAATAACATCGTTCTTCTGAGATCTTACGCAATCGTTAAAAAGGTTTAACGCGGACGAGCAGAAGAAACGGGGTGCAATCAGAAAGTGGGCGGATTAAACGCTTTAATTAACTTGTTATGAAATCGTTAACCGCCAGGATAGGTTTGATTCGATCTTACGCTAATGACGCTACGATTAACGTTCCAGGGAGCTTTTTTTTTCTTCGTTATGACGATAAACATGTTATCGTTCGAGTAAATCGTTAATTCCACCGAGTAAAATTGATTTCTTCGAGGGAATTCTCGATACTCGAGTAAGCGAAGCGAGTTTATCGCTGTGTAGATTGAAAAGTTAAAGGAGAAGGAAAAAACAGGCAAGCGAATAGTAGATAACCGATTGAACGAACTGAATATGGAACTTCATTCGAAGAGATCAAAGGTGTTGAACAATATTTAGATCCGATGTATTTATATTTAGCCTCGTGCCGCGCATACAACAACGAGCTCCGATATAAACACATAATAGAGCGTATTTACTAACTCAACGCGCCATTATACATTCTAATTCGAGGAATGAGAAGCAAAACGTCGTAACTGTCTGGTTTTATAATAGAGACAGAAACCAAGGGCACTCCTCCCGTTTCCAGCCGTAATAAAACGGAAAATTTACGATAACCGATCGATACGAGCGAAAGATGTGCGAGTTCCCGACATTTCGCGCTAGGATCGAGCCGGGTGGGTTCGATCAGGTACGCGAAACACGTGTGCTCTCCGGTAGCCCGACTTGGGAATCGACTCAATTCTCTCTGACTTCGTTCGAATGTCAAATTATCCGAAGTTGCATCGGACATCTTCCGATTCGATTCTATTCAACAACTCGGGTATTCGAAAGCGAAACATTTTGGAGGGAGATTAATTGAAAAGTTATCGAAATACGACCGAGACGATTCGAGTTTCGCGATACGCTGGAAGACTTATCGGTCGGGAAAGGTGTTCAAATTGTGTCCAACGAACGGTACACCGTCTAAAAATACATTTCTAAACCGGAGAATCATTGCGCGACGGCCCTGTTCGCGAGGAACGCGTGCAGCGCTCGCGTCGAGTGGTGGGGGGAAGTACACAACTCTTTTATGCACGGACGCATGCGTACGAGAGGGAATCGCGCGGACGCATGCGCGATCGCGACGCGGGGCCGCGGTGGGAGCAGCGCGCACACAGAAACAGGGCGGTGCTTTCATTTATTCATAAATCAACAGCGTCTATTTATAGGTACCCGACGGACAAATAGCGATAGTTGTGCGCGCGACGTTGTATCCTTGAATGGCGAAACAATCGAATGGAAATTAATGCGGCCCGATGAAAAATTAGACGCGGACCTCGACGACACCCGGCTGCGTGCTCGAGGAAGAGAGCACGTGGACAACTTTCAGCGGTGCGTCTGGTTTCGTTCGGTCAGGGTCATAGACACCAGGTCTACGATAATTATCTGGCTCCTTAATACATGTTTCTGGAAAGTTTTCAATCGAGACGATATTGAATCTCGCTATATGGCTCTGTATAGAGATGCCCAAGACAAATCATAAATATTCAAATTTGACAAATTTTTCGTGCTTGTCTGGTAGGCTCGAGTGACAGGATACTGTTTTGACGCGTCAAGAATGTTAAAGTCGCGATGTTACACAAGAATTTTCTCGAGCGTCTACATTTTTAAATCTGACATTCTTCAACTCTCACATTCACAAATTTTGAAGATGCTTATATTACTGAACTAAAACTTATTCTTCTCAACTAGAACTCCAAATTCGAACAGCTCCACATTATCAAATTGAGAATTAAAAAATCCAAAAATATTACGAGAGAATGCACATTTCTCGTTTATCCAATAAACGGGTGTCGTAAGCTCGCAACGAGTTTGCAGCCGATCCAACGATTTCTCAACGTCCGATGAATTCTCTGATCGGTCGACAAACGGGACATCGGCGAATCGGCACCGCCTCCGCGGAAAAACGCGTGGATCGCGCGCGCTTGGGAAATGTATCGGAATGGACCAAGATCCGTTTAAATCTCGTCAGATCCACGCACATCGGTTCTCCGGTGGGTGTCGCTGGCCGACGAGGCTCTGCTTGGAAGTCCGAGAGACGAGCATACGGATGGTGTAGGCTCGTATATGGGACGGGATACGAGAGAAAAAGAGAGAAAGAGAGGCGGTGGGAGCAGCGCGCACACAGAAACAGGGCGGTGCTTTCATTTATTCATAAATCAACAGCGTCTATTTATAGGTACCCGACGGACAAATAGCGATAGTTGTGCGCGCGACGTTGTATCCTTGAATGGCGAAACAATCGAATGGAAATTAATGCGGCCCGATGAAAAATTAGACGCGGACCTCGACGACACCCGGCTGCGTGCTCGAGGAAGAGAGCACGTGGACAACTTTCAGCGGTGCGTCTGGTTTCGTTCGGTCAGGGTCATAGACACCAGGTCTACGATAATTATCTGGCTCCTTAATACATGTTTCTGGAAAGTTTTCAATCGAGACGATATTGAATCTCGCTATATGGCTCTGTATAGAGATGCCCAAGACAAATCATAAATATTCAAATTTGACAAATTTTTCGTGCTTGTCTGGTAGGCTCGAGTGACAGGATACTGTTTTGACGCGTCAAGAATGTTAAAGTCGCGATGTTACACAAGAATTTTCTCGAGCGTCTACATTTTTAAATCTGACATTCTTCAACTCTCACATTCACAAATTTTGAAGATGCTTATATTACTGAACTAAAACTTATTCTTCTCAACTAGAACTCCAAATTCGAACAGCTCCACATTATCAAATTGAGAATTAAAAAATCCAAAAATATTACGAGAGAATGCACATTTCTCGTTTATCCAATAAACGGGTGTCGTAAGCTCGCAACGAGTTTGCAGCCGATCCAACGATTTCTCAACGTCCGATGAATTCTCTGATCGGTCGACAAACGGGACATCGGCGAATCGGCACCGCCTCCGCGGAAAAACGCGTGGATCGCGCGCGCTTGGGAAATGTATCGGAATGGACCAAGATCCGTTTAAATCTCGTCAGATCCACGCACATCGGTTCTCCGGTGGGTGTCGCTGGCCGACGAGGCTCTGCTTGGAAGTCCGAGAGACGAGCATACGGATGGTGTAGGCTCGTATATGGGACGGGATACGAGAGAAAAAGAGAGAAAGAGAGAGAGAGGGAGCGAAAGAGAGAGAGAGAAACGAACGAGATGGGAACGCGGCTGTACGAGGCTGCTGGCTGCTTGGCTCCGCTGATGCTGATGCCGATGCCGGTGCTGCCCGTGTTGGTTGTAGCTGGTTCGTTCAGTCTGTCGCTTGGCAAAGCAATAGCCCAGGCTAAATATAGCCTGGCGATAAACATAGGCAGTTAGTGGAGCCACGGTGTATAGTGGCGTCGGTATCCTTGGATATACTCGAATGACGCCGGATACACGAGTCTCTTTCTCTTTCTCTCTCTCCTGTAACGCCGTGGGATTTCGGTTCTACCTGACAACCATTCAAGAATCCCGACCAGGTCGAAAACGAGATGAAGGGACGGTCAATCTGGAACGAACCCGGTTCGGTGCCTTTATACTCGATCATCGACTAAGTGTACTCTTGTTTCGATCTCGCGTATCCTTTATGTTATACCGTTTCTACGTTTATTTATAAAATCTTGCCATGTTGGTACGTTTTTACAGACTGAGCGAATAAACTGCAAAAGACCTTAATCAAGGTCGTTACACAGTGATTTTATTTATTTTCCTTGGAATCTACGGACGGCGATTCAATATTTCCCTGCGGTTTAGAACGCGGAAGAAGTTATAGAGCTATGTAAATAAACTTCTTTCCTCGCTTCATTGATAAATATCCGATATATGTCGAATTGACGAATTTCATCGAAATGTTCGATACGGCGTATCTAAACGTAATTAGCGTTTTCGACTGGTGCGCTCTAGCCGATGTTAACGCTCGTTTTATGGTAATGGCTAATTAATATTGCATGACGCGTATCGGAGCTGTTGAACTTTCCACGCGGAATTCGTTGTCGCACGATTTCGTATCGGTTTTCGATTAGAATGCTGACTTTGTACGGTTTTCGAGCAAAAGTCGATCGTTGGACGTCCCGCAACGGAATGAACGGGCGATCACTTTGGCGGCGAGATCGAATAAAATCGTCTGTGCTTTCCTTCCTTGATTCGATTCGTGTTGCTCGACAAAGCAATACCCGGTCTAAATATAGTCGGCCCGATAAACACAGACACTTGGACATATGCTCGACTGATAACGGATAGTCGTTGTAATACGGCTGCTGTAATATCGTTCACACCGTCGTAATACTACATGATCTACGTTGTTTTCGCCGCGCGATTAGAGACAAATATTGACAGACACTGATACGGACTCGCGAATTTAAGGACAAGATTCTTGCAAAATTTATATTGTATTCCGCTGGAACTTTCGTGTCGCCTTTTCGAACGAACGTCTCCGGAGATAACGAGACGAACTCTCGCGCTGAATCGTCTCGGATCCGGAGCAATTATAACCACAGAAATAAACCGTCCAGCGAAATTCTTGTCGGATCACGTAAACGCGCGACAATCTCGACTTAAAAATACCTTGCGACAATAAACACTGTCGTTCTTTCGCTCTCAAGGCCGGCGTTTCGAAATTTTTAATTGCCGCATTAACGATTAAACTTCAATTAAAACTTGTCTAGGTCGATACTTATAATAACCCGATTGTGGCTGTTTACTCGTTCGATGTAAACTATAAATGTAATCCATAGATCGGTAGACTGCATGATTTATGACCCATTCTGTGGACGTCGATATATCGTAAACGCATAAACACGGTCTAATAATAACCGCAAATAAATGAATAGAAATGTTCGTTTAAAGCGGTATTTATATTAGACCTTTCGTTGGTGACTCGAAGTCGTTCAACTAAAAGGTACACGTTTACACCTTTCTGCTTGAAATGGCAACGTTGATTAATCGACTCGGCTATTTTAGAGTGTTGTTTCGAGACTTGTTCCGCAAATTATTAGCATCGTTACACAGAAATTATATTTAGAGTGAAACATTAGGTTTAAACGACGGCGATAGAACGAGCTTAGCCAGCGGCAAATTAAGGCGATTGCGACGGAGATGTCGCAGCTCGTTAAATCGCACGCACTTCGCGTACCGCGGGAAGCGACCACTTGAAAGCACGGCTTGTGTTCAAGATTTCAAGATCTGTCTGTAATTCAAACCGTTACGAACCAGTCACGAAATTACCGTTTCAAAAAGATTTCGATTTTTCTTGAACGCATCGCTCGAGGCGTGAGAGAAACAAAAGCTGTTAATCGCGAAAACTGATCTTGGCAAATGAACTAGGAAGCAGGGTGATCTCGTTATCGCGGAAAGAATGATGTACGGGCAGTAAAACTTGACCTTAACGTTAATTCCTAGAGGTGTCGTGACGATACAATGGCTGACTAACAAGGAAGTATTTCCTTGTTGACAGTTACGTTCGCGTTCTAAATATAATATGTTAATTTCGAAAGGTATTTGTCTGTCGAACGCTGGCGAGCGTGGCTTTCATAGGGAAAATTGTGCGGAGAGGATAGACTACTAATTTTTGGAATTTAGAAGGTTGCTTGAGGATTTTGCTGATGCGAGAATTTGGGGATTTGGAGGGTGGGAATTTGGGGATCTGGAAATTTGAGGATTTGGAGGATAGGAATTTTGGGGATCTGGAAATTTGGGGATTTGGACGCTGAGAATTTTAGGGATTTGGAGGCTAGTAATTTTGTGGATTTGGACGCTAGGAATTTTGGGGATTTGGAGGCTAGGAATTTTGAGGATTTGGACGCTGAGAATTTTAGGGATTTGGAGGTTAGGAATTTTGTGGATTTGGACGCTAGGAATTTTGGGGATTTGGAGGCTAGAAATTTTGGGGATTTAGACGCTAGGAATTTTGGGGATTTGGAGGCTAGGAATTTTGAGGATTGGGACGCTAAGGTTTTTTGAGGATTTGGAGGCTAAGAATTTTGAGGATTTGGACGTTACAAGTCTTGAGGATCTGCAAATTTGGGAATTTGGAGGCTAGACATTTTGGGGATTTGGTCGCTGGAAATTTTAGGGATTTGGAGGCTAGGAATTTTGGAGTACTGGGAATTTGGGGTTTGGACGCTAGGAATACATACGCCATGTGCATTTTGTCAGAGTGCTTTCCTAGTCACAAGGGAAAGTTTCACGAGGCTAAAGGATAATGAATAGTCGTTAAGGGCCATGGCGACGTTGGTGTCCTCACGGCCAACGTTTTGCGAAAAAGATATTTTTGTGCTGACTGTAGTAACTCGTCACAGAATGAAGACATTTTGATTCGTTATATCTGTGTACTAATTCACAACTTGCCTTTCGGTCATTTTCCTGATTTTCCTATAAGAGTTTGTAAATGAAAAAATTCGACAAACTTGTAAACCCAAGAATTTGAACATGACATAATAGGTAAATGAAAAATTTGACAAGCTCAAGTACAAGTAGGCAAGATCGGTGAGCTCGAACTCTGATCTTTGTTTTGAGGCCGATTGGTCCGAAAGTTGAAAATATTCGAGGCGCTGTCTCCACTTAAAGGCTGATGTCTGCCGTTCGAAAATAGCTGTCGTTTAGAGTCAGCGATTCGTCGGTATATACATATACACAAACAACCGTGTTGTAAACGAGAAAGAGAGACAGAAAAAAAAGAGGAATTCCTTAACGACAGGCTGGAAACACGTGTCAGCACGCCGTTGTAAAGAGGCAACATTCTCCACCTTTTTCCGTGCAACCCGGGGGCTGGTTGACACCCATAAAAAGGTTAACGTACAGCGAATAAATCGATACGAATAATTACGCTTGTGTTTTGATCGTGCAAAACTCGAGGCACAAAGTAGCCAATTCGTTGGTTAGACAGCACGACGTTATTTCGACGCTGTAGCTGCGGTTCGGTTTTAATGTGGGTGCCGCCTTAAGTAACGACGACGCGGCTGGTTTCAGGCTAAAATACACTCAATTAACCCTTAATTGGCCGGCACCAATTATGGGCCCAGCGTACCGACGCGTATTCATTCGGTCAACAAGAATGTATGGTTGGCCGGCGTTGTTCTTCCCTCGTTTTACGACGACGACGACGACGTCGTTCGTGCCTCCTCTGGCACGCAGATAAACGAATTTCTTCTTCGCCATCGAGCTTATCCCAAGATTCGAGCACGTGATCGCCACGTTTGATCGTCTCGTCGCGTGGAAAGTTCGCGCCTCCAGCTCTGTTACTATATTTATCTAACGTTTTCAACCGGTCTCTCCTTTTCTCCGCTTCGATTCCTATCCGCTCGTTTATACGCGAAAATAATACGTTAATCAGCCCGATCGGTGTATAACAATTAACCCCGCTGCTGGACCCGTTACCGTACCTGCTAGATCCATATCTTATTCTTACACATAATTATAGCTGTTTCTTTGTGTTCATTAAATTTCATAGAAGCACTTGAGCGTTTCTTTATTATCCTCCAAACTCGGATATTTATCGAGGACATCAAATATATTAATTAACCCCTGTGTTACACCGATACGAATCTGTGTATCGATCGTAACATTTATTATCGAACGTTTATTATATATTATGCAATAACATATTGGGATATGTAAAATAATTTTCGCGATGGCAAATCGATCCTTGAACGCTGACAGCACGTCGAATCCAAGGTTAAAAAACACATTAGTCACGATTCGATCGAAGCATGTGAATCACACGATGATACACAATCGGGAAAACTAGAATAGTGCCTAGAAGCTGTGCAAGCCGGCTGGAAAATTTATAGCGAGTGAAACTCTAGCAACGAGCCAGAAGTGTCATCGAGTATCGCGGCAAGATTTATCCAACGATTTCACGCTATTTTTGATTTCGAACACACCTCATAGAGATGTTAATTGATTGTTATCCTATCTACGATCGATTCGTTTCAATCGGCGTGTCTTACTACTCGTGTCTGATTTCACTGCGATCAATGCGTTTACTAGGTAGAAATGGACGTTCGTAATGAGATACTGATTACTTCCTCATTAACTAATTAAGAGTTTTACTTAAACTTTGTCAAAGGTAAATTTTCTCTATTCAATTTTGTATGGTACTTAATGTGTTGACGAGTGAAATTTATTGGTTAATTCACGTTTTTATATTTTGATTTACTGAGGTGGGCCATGTAGATATTTTTTATTGGATTTGTGCATTGGTCTTTTTCTTATCGTTAGTTGTATTTGTCTGTTCAAGCTATTATACAGTTTTCAGATACTGTTTTTTGGTAATTGTGAAAATGGCTATAAAAGACATTATATAATGTCTATAATAACTTTGTCTATTCAAGACACGTCCATTTTTTGATAGTACTTAACATGACAAGTGCAATATATTGGTAAATTCATAAATTCATAACGCATAAAGGTGCATTATTTTTGTGTGCATTGATCTTTTTCTTATCATTAGTTGTATCTGTCTGTTGGACCCATTATACAGTTTTTAGTTGCTGTATCTTAGTAATTGTGAAAATAGTAAGTATGGAAAAATTGATAAGGTATAAACTTTGTCAGGCTCTACTTTGCAAGGGTGAATTTTATAAAACATCATATTCTGAAGAAATATGAGGCACGTAAAATAGCGTGGATTTAATAAAACAGTTCTTTAAAACTCACACATGTATACTTAAGTTAAAAAATGTCCGTAA